ATTTCAAACAGAAATATGGTATAATCTCAGTCTAGCAATACTCAAATGCAGTAAACGTTCTTGCGTTAAAATCATGATTCTTGTTTAACCCTCAGGGATGCAAACACAACCCAAGGTACTGTCTCTTGATCTGCTCTTTAGCTCTTTATACTGTAGGATCCGAAAAGCGAAGCGATATTCTGGTCAAACTAATTGCAAACCACTGCAGGTATTTTTGTATGGTGGAAAAAAGAAAACGAGTTGCTCCTGGCTAGAAGCAGTCCTTCGCCAGGCTGATGGCACACACAGGCTGCTGTGGAAAAATACCTCTTCCAAAAGTTGCACTTAGAGTTTCTGAAATGTAGTCTTTCAAGATTTGCTGATATTGGCTGCTTCACTCCAAATACCAGCCTTCAGCTTCTGGTTTCAGAGCACGGTGCTGATTCAAAACTAGACTGACAGCAGAGCATTTTTCAGCCTTTTTAGTAACTTGTAATAAAGACTCAAGTTGTTTGCTGCGTTTTGAAGTGTGACAGTGACAAACTATCACCACCCAATCTATTTCTAAAGGAGTCTTCAATACATGCATTTGGAGCAAGTCTCAAAAAAAAAAATCCATACAGTTTTGCTGCTAAAACTTTCCTTTTATGGTCTTGGGTGAAATTCAGATGTTTCTCAGCCAGCTCTGTAGGCATTTGAGTGCAGTGTCATTAATTAATGGGTGTATCAGCAAACACCTTGCTGTCTGACTGCAGCAAGACTCTGTTCTACTCTCCAGAAGGGATTTTGGCCTACTGGATTTAGACTGCCTAATCTGTTTGGTAATGGAGTGCTTGGAAGGTGTATGTAAACCTTGATCATGGCCTGCATCAGTCATTGTGCAGCAGTCTCCAGGTCACAGTGCTAATGCATGGGATGGCTCTAAGAACCAGAATTTACAAGTAAATACTTCTTTTTAGTGGCAGTGAATATACAGTGTTCTTTTCTTAAGTACTGCATGGTGTGTTCTGCAGGATGTTTCCCAAGGAAGGAAGGAGGCAGCAGCTGATGTGACACTTGCCAGATCAGTGGCTGATGCTGATTTCAGTGAAAACCAACTCCAACTTTAACTAAGCAACTGCATTGGTTCTGGCATAAGCAGTAATATTCATGCTCTCGTTAGGTCGTTTGTTACTTAAGGAACATATTTAAGAAAGCAGGACTGCTTATGTAGCCAGCAGCTGATCTTAAAGGAAAGGAACTGTTCAGCAGCTGCTGGCACGTTGTTCCTTGGCAGCACCTTGGGATTGTTTTCTCAGTATTTCTCAATCCAAATTATTGATCCCAGGGCAGTTTGCCATTGAAGTGTGTAGCGTGTGTCAGTTTCTTCTCATTTATTGAAGCTTTGCACACACGTTGATTGGAATCCTATAATCCTTGCGAGGCTTCTGTTCTGCACAGAGGGAGGCTTCGCTGGGGCTTCTGTGGTTATTCTCTGTTTTAGGAGACAGTGTTGGTTCAGCTGAGCACTACAAACAAAATCTTTCAGTAATTTAACCAAAGGCTTGTGTGTTAGCACACAATAATGCGGAACTTGAGCTGTGGATTATATTTATTAGGGTTTTTTATTATATAGTGAGTAGAAGAGGTGTGAAGTCCCCATTGTGAGTAGTTTGTTGTCCTTTTAAAAAGATTTAGAGAAAATTCTCACCTACTGCCTCTCACCCTTTGTTTTCTACAACCACTACAGAAAGAAGAAAGAGAGAAGGGAAGAGTTGTGTTATGCTTGGGGAAAAAAATAAAAAGAAATTAAAAAGGAAGAACTGATGGCTCCACAGAGGAACCTCTCGTGGCTGCCCTTAGCACTGAGAAATGTTTCACGTGCTATTTTTTTTTTTTCTTTCACCTGAGATCTCATTTGTGGTCATTCAGTCTTCTGTATCAAAAAACAGCAGTTGCTGGTTGAACACTGAAGGACAAAGTTGAGGTTTACTGAGGGTTAAAATATGGGTGAGTCCTTTGCACAGACTGCTCAGTTATCCATGATTTGTGCACGTCAGTGGTGATCTGTCTGGGGGGGACCTAATGCTGAAGTGATGCTCTCAGAAAAGACTCTGAGGCTGGCTGGAAGCTCCTTGAGGCTGGGCTTTGTTCATGTACTCCTTGTGCTTGCATCCCCTCGGTGTGACAGGTTGTCTGCAGAGCCAAGGGCCGTGCCCTTATTTGCAGGGGAGGACGAAGCAAACTGTTCCTGCTCCTGCTTTGTCTGCAGCATGCCAAGGAGCAGCCACTGCTGAGGTTCAGAGGGAAAAACCACCTCAGTCTCACTGTTAGGTTGAAGTCCATCCCTGTCAGGGATGCTGGGGCATCCCTGTAAGCTTTACCTCGATTCTGAATAGCTATCCAATGGCATGCTGTAATTGTACCCTCAGTTTGCAAGGCACAAACCTACTGGCTTAGCCTAGCAAGCGTAACTTACAGATGATGGCAGCTGCCCATTCAGACTGAAACATCAGCAGGTTGGGTGAGTGCAGGCAGTTTGTTACATTGCCTTCCTTATGCATTTTTCTTTTTCTTTTTTTTCCTTTGGTTTATTGGCTTCAGTCTTGAATTTTTTTTCAACTGTGAGAGCAGTACACATTGAAGCATATAATTAGGGAGAGAATATTTTTAACTTAAACTTTAGCCTAGTGAAGAAAGCATTAATAACCATGGACTTCCTTGGTATATTTTGGCTACCTACCCCTAGGATCTGTGTTTGTTTCTTATTGTTAGTGGTGCAACTGTGACATTGGAGCTGTCAGCTTTCACATCACTGCTCTCAGCAGAGTGAAATTCACCCTGGCAAACCCCTGCAAAGCCCACTGTGCCCTGGCCAGGGGCAGGGATTGTTCTGGTAGATGCACATTCCATGCACAGTAAGTAATGGATGCAGAAGGGCTGCAGCTACTCTTCCACCTTACACCCCCTTACATCAGCTCCATTTGATTTAACACTTTATCCTTAGCTAAATTATTCTGGCTTTGGAGAAAGGAAATTGGAAGGGAGAATTTGGTATGGTGTGAACACTTCACTGTGCTACGGGACAGTAAATGTTGCACTTACAGTATGTTTCAATACTGTGATACTCTGAGAATTACTGTAAAACCACTTGTGGGAGCCGTTCGTTTTGCTTTGTTGCACAGGTTGTACTTACATTTTTTGCATGGTTATACATTTTAGTATTTGTGCCTTTTACTTCTCTGTTGTGAGAATGCATTGTATTTTCACATTTCGTCTGCTGTTTTGGGTACTTTTTATAAAAGCTTTTTTTTTTTTTCATTTGATCTTCATCTCAGATTTTCATGTGATGTAAATGTCTGTATATATAAAATAGCTCAGATTTGTATTCATGTGCCTGAGATGTAAAAAATACTCATTTTATACAGGTTTTTTTAGAAGCACTAGGTCATGTTGGAAATTCCTTAGCAAATGAAATGTAATTTGATCAGCAGTTCTTTGTCTTGTTTTAGCAATGTGCTGTCAGGTGGCTGGTCTCTTTATGGCAGTATCTCACACACTCCCTGGATCTGTTCTGGTGTCACTATGAGACCAATTTTATCTGCTTGTTAGTTTTGGTTAATTGGAAATAAAACACCCAGCTGTGCGTTAAGGTCCTGCCTCAATGGTTGTAGTTTTTATTCACGTCAGAAACTGTTTGCTTCCATCTGTACTTGAAATGGACTTCAGACAAAAACCTCCTTTGAACGCGTTGCCCGTTTTAGGTTTATTTCAGTCCTGGAGTTATTTTTGTGGAAGTGGGTGAGTGATTTACTTTGACTATTGGAATCAAAAAGGAAACAGCAGTGCCCATTCATAGATCCTCCTCCTTAGGGTAAACCCCATTGGATTTCTGCTTCTCTTCCCTTCCTGCCTTCTGTGACCTCTTTTCCTAAGGAAGAACCCTGGCTCTGCACAGCTGAAAGTGCATGAAGAGCACGAAGGTAACGGGAGCAGAATTTCTTACCTAGATGCAAACTGTTCCTTACGCCCTTCTTGCAGAGCTGGGAAATGGAGCGCCTTGCTTTTCACATTTAGCAGCTGCAGGGAAAACTCCTGGGTTTGTAGCACAGCAAAACGTCGCTGCGTTCATTGAGTGCTGACCCCCTCGCCTGGTCAGATGCTTGAATTGTTCCCTCTTGTGTCTCACGGAGCACCGATAGGCACCGCAGATACGGTGAGATAAGAAATGGTGAGGCATACAAAAAGTAGCACCTACTAAAAGCTCCAAAGCCCAAAGTTTTGATCTATAAAATGCAACGTTCCCTCCTCAGAGAGCTGAAATCTCTAAATTGAATCTGGCATCCGCTTCTCAGCCCATGAAGCTGCCTTGGAAGCAAGGAGGTGGTTTTATTTTTGACTTCAAGGGCGGCTTGGTTGGAAACTGAGCAAAGTCCATTCGCTTCATTGCTACAGAAAAAAAGCAGCCAGCAAAAGCAGCATACAATTATTTGCAACTTCATTCTGTAATTTCCACCACCCGTGAAGCCACCTTGTCAGTCCTGTCGCACCTTCCCGTTACAGTTTTCTCTGTACGGGGACAATAAAGCTATCTTTGCTCACGTGAATCCTCTCACCTCTCTGTGACGTACAACGCACGGCAACTGTTTGCAGTGCGAGTCCCTCCGTTCCCGCACGGTTTGAAGGCAGCGCGCGGCGATGCGGTGCCGGCACGCGGCTGTGCGAGCTCCTCGTGCAGCGCTGCGAGCAAATCGAGCTCCAGCTGCGAGCTGTCGGCAGCCCCGCGGCCAGCTGCAATTAACTAATTGCTGAGCGGCACCTGCGGTTCTGCCGGGGATCCGTTTGAGCTCCGCGGGGCCGCACTCGCACTTGCGGAGCGGCGTTTCCAGCAGCCCCGGGAGCTGCGGGAGGCGGGACCTCGGTTGGGACCTGGACCCTCCGTTGGGACCCGGACCCTCCGTAGAACCTCGCCCATCCTTCCCCGTGGATGCCCGCACCCTCCGGACCAGAACGCTGAGGTAAATTTTTTATCTTTATTTTGTAACTTTCTCCTTTCTTGAGCCTCTTCTCCGGGTTTTGCTTTAATGGCTGGAGTAAAGCAAAAAGAAACGTGGTTCCGGCTGTGGAAATGCCAGGAGGAGTTCTGGAAGGTTCTGTGCGGAGCCTCGGTGCCCCTCAGTGCCGCCCCGCGTGCCCGCACTGTGCGCTCATAGCGGCGCTTCCACGGGGTTACGGTTCTCCTCACGAGGAGCCGCCCACCCCCGCTGGGGGCTCAGCTGTGCCCGTGGGAGGGGGACCCGCAGCCCCCCGGCACCCCTGGAGCCGGTGCTGTGCGGAGATCCGTGCTCGTGGTGCGTTATTCAACGTGGAGGCTGTGGTGAGCTCTTTAAGGGAGAGGGGAGGAGGGGGACGCTCATTAGTGATGCATATTCTCTTTTCTGAATCTGAGCTTATTTATTGTAGCGGTGGATTCCAGAGGCTGGTTTTGTGTTACTGTATAAAAGGAGCGCAGTGATTAGCCTTCCTTTACCGTGCGGTTTGGTTCTCCTCAGCAATCGCAGCACTTGGCTTTGCAGCTGATGGTTCCTGCAGCTGCTGTCTGTACTGCCCATGTCTGCACTGCCCGCTGTTGGCTGGAGCTGCTCCTGGCAGTACAGCACTGAACAGAGGGCACCCACAGTGCCTGACCTCTCAGCCTTCCCCTTTTCCACATTCCTTATGGCAGTGAGGTGTTGGATATTCAGATTTGTAACAGCAGGCCTTACCAATGCCCCTCTGTGTCTGTTAAACGGCTGCACCGAGGAAATGCAAAGCAGTTATGCCCCAAAATCTCAATAGCAGCTCTGGCTGATGCGCTGCACTACTGACCTGTTTCAGTCCGCTACACGCTGGCTCACAAGGGAGGTGCACTGGGGAGATGGACCAGCTGGTGCTGGGGGAGAGGTGCATGTCAGCACTGTGTGTCACACAGGTGGAACAGCTGTAACAATGGTGCCATTCTGTGCTCAGAGCCCCGCATCATTGTGCAAACAGCACTGAGATGTCTGAGCTCCCCATGGTGATGGTTACCCTGCTCTTATCTTTTGGGGGAAAGGGAGAAAGGAAAGGAGTCTTGAAACGAGGAAGAGGTTCAGTGGGGCAGTAGCAGAGCAGGAATTAGATTGCAGGAGTTCTGACTCCTGGAACTTTGGCTGGGGGCAAGGAGAGCCTTTGTAGACAGAAAATCCATCCTGTGCACACCAAGGGAGCGCACCGGCCTGGCATCAAGCACTGCTCTCATCCTGGCAGATAAGCGTTCAATGTGTGAGTCTCAAAGCCGTGGCTGGAGGATGGTTCTGGGATGTGTTGCTCCCTTCTGAATCTCTCTTGACCCACACACTGCAGCAGGGACTCTGCTTGCAGTTCTGCTCTTGGAGCTGGCTGCTTTCTGGAGGCAGGAAAGGGGCCGGAGCACATGAGCAGAGCATTGAACGTTGTCCCAGGTGCACGATGATTAACGGTAACTTTGTAGCATTGATATGTAAGAACCGTGACAGGAGACGTGCTTACACCCTTACTCCGTCACACTCAGACCTGCGTGCCTTAGCTAACAGACCTGTATGAAGCAGGTGATTAATGGTGCCATAACACAAGGCTTATAAATCACAGCGCAGACTTCCAAACAGAAGGAAGGGCAGGTAGCAGGGATGTGGCACCGCACGACGGCCGACTTCAGCACCAGCTGAAAGAGTGCCTCTCTCCCCGTAGTGCTGTAACACAGGCTGCCAAAACGCGGCCGGAATTGCGTTCAGCGCTTCGGCGGGGGGCGGAGCGGATCGGGGCCGCAGAGCGGGGAGCGGCTCCGTCCGTGCGCTGTGCCGGCGGGGCGCTGCGGGGCTGAGCGCTGAGCGCTGGCGTTGCCCGGCTGCAGCCAGCCTCAGCCAGAAGTCCTGGCGTGTGGAGGCTGGGAGCCCCGAGGAGGAAACACGAATAGCTGCTGAAATCATAAACGCTGCGCTGTGGTGTGACAGCGAAAGCAGAGGGTGGTGGGATAGGCGTAAAATGTGAAAATTCAGGCGGAGCAGCGGGAGACGCTTCCAGACCGGAGCCGAGAGGGGAGCGGGCTGCGTCCCGCGCGCGGGGAGCCGAGGAAGGCGGAGGTCCGGGGAAGCTCCGAGCGAGGGCCGTTCCCGCCGCGCCGGGCGCGTTCCCGCGGTCGCCGCCCGTTTCCGTGGCGCCGCCTCGCGCCGGGACCGCCCGGCTCGGCCGCCCCTCCCTTCCCCCCCGCCCCGCCGCCGCCCGGGTCGCTCCGCGCGGGGCGGGAGGCCGCCGCCTTCCACTGGCTGCGCGCGGCTGCTGCTAGCCCGTCAGGCGCGGTGGCCAAGTGGTAAGGCGTCGGTCTCGTAAACCGAAGATCGCGGGTTCGAACCCCGTCCGTGCCTGCTCGAGGGAGCGCGGCTCGCGGTGAGCCCCGCGGCGTGGAAGCCGCCTGAGGCCGGGTTTGCGGCCGCTTTTTGTTCCCGGCCGCGGGGCTTCGGAGCGGAACGGCCGCCGCGTGCCGTGGGGCGGGCTGGCTGCGGCGGCGGAGCAGCGGCGAGGTGGGCCCGGCTGTGTGTCCGTGTCAGATCCACCTCCGGGCTGTGGGAGAGGCAGCAGCGAGCGGAGTCCGAGGTTTTGCTGGAGGACAGCGGTGCGGTGCAGTAAATCACGGCTAGGCTACAAGCGACGTTCGGTGAGCTCGGAAGCACTGAGTCCTCCTCGCCGTTACTCTGCAGGCGCGGGTTTTGCTGTCCCGGGATGGTGGAAGGAGGCTGAATCCAGGAATAAAGCGATGCAGCCACGGAAGGCTCCATGAAGTTGTACCATTTACACCAACCTGAGCTCAATTCTTGGTGCATAAAGCTGTGCAGAACTTTGCACGCATCCAAGAGGCATTTCTGCCAGCTCTGTATGGCAGCGCTTCAATTACTGCTGCTTTCAGGCGGCTCCCAGGATGTAAAGAGCCGCTTTGTTGCAGGATCGCCGCAGCCAGGTGTTTGGGAAGAGCTGGGCAGCCTCTTCCAGGGGAGCTGCTCAGCCCCACGCCGACTGCTGGAGGCTGCTGTCCTCCACAGGTACAGCGGGTGTGGGTGCATGGGGGGTGCGGGGTGTTATTAACGAGCCATAAAACACGCCGGGGTACATTTGATAGGAAAAACAGGAAATGCAGTTTAGAACTTAGAAAAATACAGGCAGCGTTTTAGCAGGAAAATGCGGTGCTGTCAAAACTTTGCTGCGGGCTTCTGAGGATGAAAGCTTCAGCTTTGAAACACTTTTTATCTTTTAAATTCTGTAGCGTCTCGCATCAGAATGTCAAACCAGAATGTTTGTAAGGACTCAAAACCCGTCTCACGGCTTCTGCAGAGAATTTCAGAGCTCTGTGGGTTTGCTTCCAGTTGCAAGCAGTTGCGAAAACGAGGTGCTCCTTGAAGGACGTTTGCCATCAGTAAATCTGAGCAGCTGAGTCCTGCGCAAAAGTGCCGTGAGCACAGGGCAGGGAGCCAGGTGTGTCAGTGAGGCTGTGGCACTGCTGCTCTCTGTGGCTGTAACACAGGTGGTTCACCAGCTGCTCCACTTCAGTCTCTGCAGAACAGGAATATTTGCTTGTAACTCACAGGTGAGTGCAGCTCTTTGCTGTGGGAAGGGCTGGCTGGATTTGCTGCTGTGCATCTCTGCTGCTGCACAGATTCACCTGCCTGGATCCCTTCTGTTCAGTGATGCTGGGTTCTCTGTGCATCCTGCTCGCTTTGTCAGCTTCAAGGCTCCCCAGCTCCTCACAGACAGCAGTTGTAGTGCACGGGGATCATAATCTGTACAGAAAGGAACAGGTGGAGGCTTCACAATAAGCACACATCCCAACAGGTAGAGCTTCTAGGGCAGAGTGTGTCGCCCATGGGAAGTTCTGCCTGGCTTATTGGCAGGGCTGGGCTGGTGTGTTACATCAGGGCAGATGCTGTGCTGAGCCTCCTGGCGGGGGCTGCCAGCAGCCCTGGCTGAGCAGCAGAGGCTGCAGGTTCCCAGAGAGCTGAGTGACTTCTTGCAGCAGCAGCTCAGGCTGTGAGCAGCTGGCTCCATACGTGTCCCTGTCACCTGTACATGCGTTGTGCTTGGCCTGCCTTGGACAGGAGCACTGTCCAGTGTGTTAGCACAGCTGGAAAACAACAGACACCAGTGGATGAAAAGTAGCAGAGATCTGTTCAAGCTAGCAAGTTTGCATCAGCTTGTATGGGAGCAAAGTCCAGCCTAAATGTTGAATAAGAGTAGCTGCTCATCACATCTCGCTGTGCCCTCAGCCCCAGCTCGCCAGCACTGCTGGGGCTCTGCTCAGTGCTGCCTCTGCACTGCTGTGTTCTGTGGGAGCTCCTGGCACTGCAGGGCTGTGTTGAGGCAGATCTCTGCCTTCCCACCTCCCAAATGCCCATTCCTTCCTTCTTACGTGGGAAAGAAATTTGAGTTGGGCTTTAATGTATTATTTAATGTCCTGAAGGTCGGTGAACTTTAATGAAGACGATTACGCACTGATGGTAGCTGTGCTGAGTGGGCAGGAGAGCCTTGTTTGTTTTGGACACAAAGCCTGACCAAATACAAACCAAAATGTTTGGATCTCATTTGAGTTGCTCTTTGATTTTGTTCAAAAAATACACTGAGGAGTCTCCTTCTGAATGTGGCACTAAATGAGGATTAAAATGAGGCTCCTTTTAATTACATTAATCGTAATGTGTTTTTATTAAGTACTTAAATTGTGTATTGCTGCTGGAAATCTTTAGCTGTGTTCAGGTATGGAACTTCCTGACCTTCTGTGCTGATGGGCTCCTTCACAGCCCAGGCGTCTTCATGACCCCTTTACAGCTCCTCTTAAAAATAAGTATTAAAACAAATCACTCATAGCAGCAGTCTTTTCTGACTCTGTATTACGTGTGCTTTTGAGAGGCTGACAGAAAATGCTGGCTTTAGGAAAGCAAGATGTGAATGGGAACTAAAAGCATTGCGTTCTTTGGATTATAATAACATTTACAGCACTTTGCAACTCTCCTGAGCATCTGTCGCGTCCTCCCTGGGGTCAGACTTCAGCAACTGAAAAGCAGTGTTAGCAATGCAGGGGAAGCTGTGTGTTGGATTCAGGAATAGTGGTGAGATCACTCCTGAGCTGTGTGAGCACCTCGTGGTGCACGGCCAGGGCTGTCACAGGGGCTGCAGTTGGGGATGTATGGAGCTGTCGTCTTGATGCTTGTGCTTTTTGGGTATCCTTCCACAGGACAGCTGGCATCTCTCAGGTTGTTGTCGTTTTTGTTTGTTTGTTTTTAATTTAAAAAGTGGGGAAAGAAAAAGCACCCAATCCCTGAAGCCCTGAGCTTGGAGAGAAAACCCAGATGCCAGCTGTGTGCCAGGGTGAGCAGCTGGGTGCTGCGTGCTGCTGGGAGCAAAGGGGAACTGCTCACCGTGTGCTGCGTGGGGCTGTGCAGGGGTTCCCTGCAGGTTAGGCAAGGAGGGCTGGGAGCATGTTATAAAGGTACAGCTGGCTGCTGGGGCTGCCAGCAAACAACGGGGGGACGGCGGTGGGTTTGGGTGAGGCAGGAGAACAGCACAGCACTGTTGTCTGAATGGCAAACATGTGGTTGAGTAAATGAACTCCTGAGTAAATAAACCCCAAACTGTGGAAATCTTCACATGGCCACAGCAATGCGAGTCCCGTTTCCATTATGCCTGGAATTTAATGGACTGCTGAAGTTTGACCAAAAGGCATTTCTTGTGTCAGAATGAAAAATTACAGATCAGAAGGGTGACTCTGCAGACAAACATATCGATCTGAAGCCTGGGTGACACAGACTTCCTGGAAGAGAGCCCAGAAGCATGTCTGTGTTTAAAGTCAAATGGCTGCAGCCTTTTATCACTGATGAATAAAAAATGTTTTTGTCTGCATGCCGAAGGCTGAAGCAGAAATGACTTGATTTGTTCTGCGGGAGGAGCAGGAAGGTGTTTGCAAATAGAAATCCATTGAGTGCTGCAGTATTCAGTAAAATAAAGAAGTAATGAACAGCGTGTAGGAAATAATGAATTGTTCAGCTTTTTTTTTTTTTTTTTTTTTCCTTTGAAAACTGTTTTATGGCAGCTGTGGGAAAGGCAAACTGAGTCTCCTCGTTCTGTTTTGGGCGTTCTGGGTTACAGTGTTCCCTTCCATGGTGATGTGGGCAGAGGTTTAGTTGTGATGTTTCTTCATTGGGAACCAGGAAATTGCATTTCTGCTGTGACAGAGGTTTGGTGCTGAGGGTGCTGCTGCTGCCTGCAGTTAGATGCTAACAGTGAGGTGTGGGTTTGCCCAGACCAGCGTGCAGCCCCTGGGTGAGGCATAGCGTGGTGCTGGTGGCAGCTCAGGTTTGTGAATGAGCTGTGTGGCACCTGGAGTCCTTTCTCCCATGGTGGGGAATTCAGTGGCTGCCATCGCAGCGCTTGGTGCCTCAGTTCCACCAGGGAACGTGTGAAAGCAGAATGAAGTGGAAGAAGTGGTGCTGAATGGCAGTGACTGCCAGCAGGTGCCAGCTGACGTTCCGGGCAGCATGCCTCAGCCAAGCTGCAGTCGTGCAGGGGAAGGAGGAGCAGGGAGGGGGAGTGGATGGGAGATTTACAATCTCATCATCTCCTCCCCTATCACAGCAGCGAGGGATCTGCTGGTCTCAGAAACCCGTGCCTCTCCCTCATTCTCTCCCAGGTGCTTACTCATGCTCCTGGCTGTAAAGTGCATGAAAGAAACAGAGGCCCAGAGCCCAGCCCTGTAAGGTTTGTGCACCAGGATTCTGTCTCTGCGAGCACTGATGTGTACCACTGAGAGGTTACTGCAGGATGAAGGCCAGTGACATGAGTGCAGTTTTTGCTGCTGGGTGTAGGCTGGAAAAAATTATACTGGAGCTGATGAAATTGTCTGTTTGCAACGGCAGTGCCATGGGAGCAGTCAGACCTCGGATTAATGTAGCTTCCAAACTATTAGTCCTCCTATTTGAACGGCGAATTACTTCTTTTGCGTTCAGCACAATAGGGTTCCATGGGCCTGGAGGTGATGTGGGACATAGCCTGCCCTGTTGTGCCTTCTTGTGGGCGATGCTCAGCGTGGCTATGGCCTGCTGGATTGGTTGTAGCAGTGATAACTGAAACAGGAGTGCTGGGTTCAAACAATCAGCTAAACTAAAGAATTCAAACTGTATATGGAGGCAAGGAGGCCAAAGATAAGGTTTAGTGTTTGCTGTCTTTGAAGTGACTGTAATGAACTTACTTGGGAAGCTCAAGAATGAGACCGAATGATCAGCTAGTGCTGCAGATCTGTCAGAGGGCTCCTGGGACCCCAGCCTGCTGCTTCTGTACGTCATCGTTGGGGTGCCACAAATGGGCACAAAAGCATGGTGTGACTGTGCAGAGCATTACTCTGTGAGGACTGTGAACTGGTTGAATCCTTGTCACTCACTTCATGGCTGTTGCACCCAGGTTCAAACATGTATCGCATCACAGGAGAAGGAAAGCAGAAGGCAAGTGAGGCTTTACTGGCAGAACTGGGTTCAAACACCTCATTTTGTACCCTCAGGGTATATAGATGGTGGGAGGATTAGTACCATGGCAACATCTTCCATTTTGGAAGTGTCTTGTATAGCCCCGCCAGCACTGTCCCCTCTCTGCAGTCGCTGCAATGCTTGGTGCCCCTGGAGAGCCCTGCAGAGAGAAGTGAGCTCCCACGCCGAGCCTCTGCTGCGGCTGAATTCCTGACTCCTGTCCTTTCATCACTCTGGGCCCAACTTAAAGAGTACTTGCAAAGCTACCAAATATAGAACGCTCGCAGCATATTTCACAACTGAAACTTGCAAATGCTGGAGTGGATTTCATGGACTGAAGCCCCCCATGGAGGGAGCATTACAGTAAATAACGTTAGTGCATTTGTTTAATCCCTGGGGATTGTGGAATGAAGGATTAAAGCAGGCTAAGGGGATTTCCCAATTGACAGCTGCTCCTCTGTGCACAAACACAATTTTTTTTTATAAGTAACGTGTTCAGCCACAAAGAATTCAAACTGCATATGGCACTGTGTGTAACATAACCGTTGTTTCCACATCTGGCTGCACAGATCTGTCTCCCGTGGTAATTGTCTTTAATAGACACAATTGGGGATGAGGTAGTTGTACTAAAAGACATAGTTCTGTGTTTGAACAGGAAACCATTATTTCTGAGCTTAATCATTGCTTGTTAGTGCTTTGATTTTTCTCCTCTCTCCTGCAGACACACGTGCTTTAAATATGAAGGCCCTGTTTCTGGTGGGACATTCATCACATATTGACAACTGGCCTGGGGTTCTCAGGCTGGGCCTTGGCCAGCAAGCAGAGTGTGAGCTGTGCTGGTCTGTGAGCTCAGGCTGCAGCTCTGCAGTGACACAGGGCTGCCCAGAGCTGGGCAGAGCTCACGGAAAGCAGCTCAGGTAGGCTGTGCTTCCATTCGTCCTGAAGGGCTGCTGGTGCTGTGCGGAGGTGCGTGGGTCAGGCCTGATCCTTGCAGTGCACCATGTTGGAATGGTTCAGGAGTTTTCAATCACGAGCTTGCTATTTATTTTATTAATTTATTTATTTTAAAGGGCTGGCTCTGGGTCTCTAGCATGGATTTTGGGTGAAGGTCTGCAAGTTTCATCCTGTGCCAGCAGTGGACTTTCGGTTATTTCTCTTGCTAATCATTGTGTTCAACTTCTTTGATGATCCAGTTTCTTTGTCACCAAGGGGTGATGCTGAAATACCAAGCTGTTGGCTGCGAGCCGTGCTTGCTCACATGCTGCTTCGTACCACATGCTGGAGAGTTAACAAATCGATGGCTCTGCTTGCAGAGAAAGGCATTGCATGAGCGTAGGCAGAATTGTGAAAGAAGAACTCAGATTAATGCATGCGTTCAGCAGGACCAAACTGCATCCCCAGGGTCCGGGTCCCAGTCAGTGATGTGCAGCCCAGCCTTCCACCCACTGTGTACATTGCAGCAGTTCTCTCTGGACCTCAGAGGTGGCACATCATTCCGCGTGCTGAAGCCTTTGTGAAGACCCATAAAGAAGCTACTGCTGGGTTATGGGTCTTGTGGAAATGTTTTCTTTTTTCCAAACAGGGCTATTTTCAGAAGCAATAGGATCTGTTGTTCCATAGTTATTGTTCTGGGCTGCTGTTGGTCTTGTGTTATTAATATGTTAGCCCTTCGGCTGCCAAAACGCTTCAACCAAACTGCTGCTGTTTATTTTTAGAATTGTGGAAGTTGTGATGCTTTACAACGTGATATGCTTGTGATGACATCTGAAGTGAATGCGGGGCTAATCCTGCTCCCACCTCTCGGCCAGGCAGGGGCTGCAGTCACGTTCCCAGCACACGGGTTCTGCACGCCACGGAGAGCAGCCAGCAGGTGTTTGTGGGAGGAGCTGCAGTCCAGAGACCTGACCTCAGGTACAGATGTATCCCCTCGTGTATCCCCTGCTGAGGGGGGGCTTGTTTGCCACGTGCCTGATCCGGTTACCACCAAAGCACCGCCGGTGCCCCCAGTGGAAGCAGAGCAGGCTGTCGGCAGCTGAGCAGCGACTCACAGGACGAGGCTCCCTGCAGAAGGCCTCCTGCTGGGCCAAAGCTCTGTGTGAAAGTCTTTCCCTGATCTCATAGGATGTGTTTGACATCCTGTACTGCTGGTGACAAGAGGAAGACAAGAGGCAACATTGTATGAGGCTACTGAAAATAGCAAATCAAACAGTTGGTCAGGAAACCAGCTGAGGACTGTGCCATCCACTGAACTGGGAAGAGTCTCCATTCCCTGGCTCTCACTCGTCCTTCCATACATGGAGGTAAGACACTTGCTGTGATTTTTGTGCTGGGTGTCGGTCTGTGCTGTTGCCAGTGGTTCTTCGTTACAGCTGAAGAGCAAGAGTAGCAAAAGTGAGAATCAGTAGTTGGTGGATGTGACTTGCACTCCCTGCAACAGTATCAATCTCTTCATTTCTAAAGGCTGTTGAGGGCTTTCCTTTTCAAACCTAAGGGTTTTTACAGCACCCTGTGCCCTTCTTAGGAGGAGAGGTCAGTGTCCTGCACACAGCTTTTGAAGTCTTTATTTCTACCAGTACTTACTGAGCACTGCTCAGAACAAATTCCTGAGCATCATTTTTCCAGATGATAACAAATTATCACTTCCGTACCTTCCTTTGCTAAATCTTGTTCACAAAGTCCTCATACAACTTCTCTCTTTCAAACCTTTTTTTTTCCATGATTCTACTATTGCTTTTAAGCAACATGTTCCTTGGCTCTAAATGTTCATCAGGCTTCCGGCCAAGGAACGTTTCCTTCTGTGCAAAGGATGACTTTGCAGCATTGCTCAAGCATCGCAGTTACAGTACAGACCAGTTCAAGTTCTCTTCATCCCATTCTGCTCACACAAACCTGGTGGTCACTTGCTACAGCCATAATAATGCTGGTGCCAAAGCTCTGAGCACGCAAAGGTTTCTGGTGCAGCCTGCATGCACATGGCTGTGGTACGTGGTGTCTGTAGATGCAGGAAGAAGTCCTGTACAGACACCAGGGATGCACGTTTGTGTTCTACTGAACCCAAATGCTTGGAAGATGAGTGCTGTGGGCGCTGGCTGTGATTTTTGTTAGCTTTAGCACCTGGAGCCTAGTTTGGAGCTTCTTACTCAGCTGATGTTTTCCCACCAGGTACAGAAGAGATGATGAAAGCATTCTTGTGCGCTGGGATTCCTGTTCTCCTATGGGAGCTCATTCTAGTCTGCATTCTTGTGGCTGTGCTGCTCAACTTGATGTAGCTGTTCCTGCTGTGATCTTCAGTGAACATCACTGTGATTGCTGACAGCTTGCAGAAATAGTAAGTGTTGTCCTCTATCTTTGCATCTCGCTGCTTTTCTATCATAAAGTGTCCGTGGGTGCGGTCATGCGAAGGAACCGGAGTGCTCTGCAGTGTGTGTGGGCTTTGTCCCCTGTTCCTCACAGCTTGTCACTGGGAGGATCTGCAGCATTAGATTAACAGGGGGTGCGGAAACCAGCAGCCCCTGTGAGCTGCAGGCAGGACTCACGTGTGGCCTCACACCTGAAGTGTATGAAGGTATCTTTCCAAAATGTCTCTGAGCTCAACCACACAAAGCAGGTGAGGTTGTGTCGAGGAATAACTTCAAGACTAATAAGCAGGAAGGAAGGATGTTCTCTTTTCTTGTGGTGTTTCAGTTGACCCTTCTGACTTAACCTTACATTACAGCAGGCCTGGCAGTACTTTCTCATAGTACTTTTTAAAATGTGTGTGCATGTGTGTCTGTGGCTTTATAGAGGCCTTACAGCTATAGGTTGTACACGTGGTCCAGCTGTGCTTCGTGCGCAGGTTTTCCCAGCAGTGCAGACGCACCACCCAGCTGTACCGCATGGAAGCGAAAAGGTGCTGGACGTACTGGAGGGCAGAGTATGTCCTCTGACATCGCTACAGCACATTTACATAGGGGAGGACATGTGAGGGAAGGAGGGGGAAGGCTGAGCACGTAGGGACACGTACGGGACGCACAGAGCGAGCAGCTGTGTGCAGGCACTGCGCTCGGGACGTGTAACGAGGAGGTGCTGCCGGTAGCGATCCTCCGTGGGGTTCCTCCCGGGGCGACCTCCGCGACGGGGCGCGGAGCCGAGGGGCTTCCAGGAGCGGCTCGGAGCGGCAGCGCTGCGGGCACCGAGCGGCCGCCAGGGGGCGCCCTCCGCCCTCCGTGGGCCGCGGGGCGCGCAGGTCGGAGCGGCGCGGCTCGGCACGGCGCGGCTGCCCCGGCGGAGCGACACCGGGAGGAGCGCGGGGCGGCCGCGGGACGGCCGCGGACAGCGACGGCCGCTTCCTGCCGCGTGCGGGGCCGGATGGACCGGCGGAGCTGCGGGGAGGGCAGGGGGTGGAGAGGGCAGCCTGGGAGAGCCTCCAAATCCGCCGAGCCGGGTTGCAGCGGGAGCTGCCCGGCGCAGGGGTGGGGACTGCCCGCTTCCTTAAACGGAGCGGGAGCGGCGGAGCGGCCCCGTGTGCCGCCCCGGTGTGCCGGGCCGCTCCGACCCTCCCGGGACGCGGCCGCAACACGTGGAGCAAACTTTCGAGGGATGTGACTGCAGCCGGACGGAAACTCCGCCGCATCGGGATTGCGCCGTCACGTTGCACGGAGCAGCTCGCCTCTTTCTGGTTTGATGTTTTTGGGTGTTTCGTCGTTGTTGTTATTTTTTTCCCCTTCTTTTTAAATGGCTGCTTTGGGCTGTTTTTTCTTTTTCTTTTTTTTTTTCTTTTTTCTTTTTTTTCTTTTTTTTCCCCTCTTCTTTGCCCTACTTCTCCTCCGTGTTGGGTCGGGACTTTGAAAGCACGCCGGGGCAAACGCAGCGCTTGAGAAGCCGACAGAAATGTTGCAACGTCCCTGGTGGCAACGAATTTATTATTTGTTTCTTTTGCCTTTTGCGAGGGCAAAGAGGAAGGGTGGAAAAAAATCTCGATGTGATCAATACCGGCTTAAATATCCGCCTGCGAGCGGCCGGGGAGGCGCGGTTGGGGGCCCGCAGTCGCCCGCCGCTTCTCCGCACGGACTTCAGCCGAGCCCGAGCCCTTCCCGGGCGTAACCCCGCGGACCGGCGGCCCTGGGGAAGGGAGGAGGCCGCGGGGGTCCCCTTCAGCCCGTTCCCCCGCTCCGTCTCCCACGGCTGGCGGAGGGCTCGGGCTCTTTGGGCGTTGGAAGCTCTCGGCGTTTTCGCTCTCCGCGCACGGAGTTCCCCCGCGCCGTGCGGTGCCGAGTCACGGCGCGCTGCGGGCCCGGCCCGGGCTGCGGGGAGCCGGCAACGGGGGCGGCGCGGGGCTCTGCTGCGGGCCGGGGCGGCGGCTGCTGCCGGCGGGGTCCCCCGTGGCCGCGGGGCGGGGACCGGGGCTCGGCGATAGGCGCCGGCCGGGGAAGGGAATTAAATCAAAAGAATAGTTTAATTAGAAAAATCGCGATCCCCGCCCGATCGGGCGAGCTGAGGGCTGGGTCTTTGCGGGCGAGATGAGAGGTTCGTGTCTTCAACTGGCCTACAAAGTCCCAGTTCTCGGCTCCCAGGACCTGCCGGGCTCGCAGCGGGCGAAGACGGAGCGGTTGGGGCCGCCGCCCCCGGGACACGGCGCGGCCCGGCCCGGCTCGGGGCGCCTCAGCCGCTGCGCTGCCCTTCCCGGCTCCCCGCGGGCCGTAGCGATGGGACGGAGTTCGTTCTCCGCGCACCGTAAGTGCGTCGCGTTCCTTCCAGCGCCGGGAGGGCCGCGGCCGGGCGCGTCGGGTCGGTGCCGTCGGTGGTTGTGCAGGATGCCGCGCCGTGCGGGCGGCCTTCCTCACCGCTTTCACTTTCAGAAAACACAGCTCTTCTTTATTTTCTCTCTCGTTTTCCTTTTTTTTACCCCTTTTTCCCCCTTTTAATAGAAGTAGTCACACAAGCATGGAGCAGCCTGGTTCTGCTGCTCCTCGTGTTTATGTCACTGCTTTCTCCCTTCGCCCTTTGGGTGCTCCTTATTATTTGCCTTTGGTTTTGATTCTGCATGCTGCGCTTCTGTGGATGATAGTTTGTGCTCCTTTTTGGGTGTCATCCCCATGTAATGCCATGGGGATGGCTGTTTGCTCATCTAGCATGTATTTATTGCTTCCACGTCCTTCTGTATTATGTTACATTTTAGGTTCTTAGATTAGAATTATTTTGCGGCTCCTCGTGATTGCTTGTTTGTCATAGATGTCTTTCCTTCTCTCCTGTCGAGTCGAGAACAGTGATCTAGAATTAGGAGCAAGGCCAACTGGCAGCAGTGTTCCTGTGGCCACGTTCTATGAAAGCAAATGGAAGTTGGGGTGGCTCAGAAAACACACAGGAAGGTTTTAACCAGAATTATTTCTTTGCTGTCGTGCTGCCCTCAGCGTGCACACAGACACCTACACAACTTTTACCCTCAGCTCCTAGGAGAGTTTTGGAAACAAAACCCATTTTCAGTGCCGCATTCCGTACGCTTTACCCATGGAAAACATTCGCTTTGTGTTTTGCAATTAGTAACAGTTTGTAAATGGCATTTGAGATCACTGCTCAGTTTTTTTCACTTTTGCTCAGCCCTGTGTATCCAGCACAGCACACACAAGGTGTATTAATAGCCGCCCTGACGTGTGTCTGTGCACACAGATGGGTGTACAGCACTGATCTGTGCGCAGTGTTACAGCTGCTGTGGGCACAGTTGGGCTGCTTTGGGCCCGTTCTCCTCTTGGTGCTGATTGGGAGCTTTCTTTGAAACCAGAACTTGAAGGAATTTATTTTTGCACATTTCTTTTCCCTGTACGCCCCTTTTTCCAGAGAACTCAGCCTAGCAGCCACAAAAAGGAAAAGTATGCGAAAGTAGGGAGGAAAGGCAGAAATACTGCTCCCCTTTTTGGAGAGAACGCTGCCAGGGAGGGTCTGCAGGTCTGCCCGTAGCCCTTCCTCCCCGCGGATCTTCAGCTCTTAACAAAATTAATCTGCAGTGAAATCACAGAAATCTGATTCTAATCATCCGCCCTGGAAGGAGAGAGCTACAGGACGGCAAGCATGGTGTAAAAATACTTAAAGCATGCGGAGCCATATCATTAACATTAAAACCTGCTGGTGTGAAAGGGGGGAGCAGGGGGGAAGGTTTCTGTGCCTCCTTAGCACTCTCCTTGCAACTTCTTGTGCAGCTTCTCAGGTATCACTGCCCAGCAGTGATTGCTGCTGCGGCTGTTCGTGTTGCTGCTCAGTCTGTGTACTGTTGGGCTGAACCGGAGTTTTCTCTTTCATAGGAGACTTTCTTAATTGTGGTTTGTTCTGGAAAGCCGGGTAAACTGCTGGGTTTAGCTTTTGCCAGATTTAGCATAATCTGGATTTTTTTTTTTTTTTTTTTCCAGCAGTAATTGTTTTCTTCCTGCATTTAAGCAACTCTGTTGAGTTCGGCCCCCAGAGCCCTGTGCTGCAGCGCGGCGTTGCTGAGGTGCTGCCTTTGGGTTTGCTCCTTCATTCAAGGTCCAGTCAAAGCGTGGTGCTCATAGAGCTCAGTGCCAACATCAGGATGTGTTAAATCTGTTTGTTTGAGCTTCTGCCTCCTCAGTTGCCTCTGGGAATCTTTTTTTTTTCTCGTGATGGTATTTGTCAAGGTGAAAGGACACGTTTTTGTCCCAGCAATATTCATCCATTTGAGCTGACATGGATGCGGTTGTCCGTGGCTGCCAGAACTCTGCTGGTGGACTTTCTGATGTGAAGGATGTAATTTTTCTCCATTCATTTGCAGCTATTGTAGCCATACGTGCTACACTGATAAGTGCTCCTCAACTTCTGTTTGTGCCCCAAAGAACACGCAGTGCCAATGTATTTCTCAGCATCTGTTTCACACTGTTCAGTTCAAACATTCCCTCTGAATTAAAGCTCGGGCTGGAGTAGAGCATTCCCTCATGCCCCAAATGATTTTTTGTGGGTCAGATTACAAAGCAAAACTATTTTATTTTATTTTTGCATAGTATTGCTCCGAAGGCTGGACTGGGGGTAGGCCACACTTCAGCACTTTCCAAATGCTAAATAAGATGGTTTGAGCTTCTGCTGCAAGTTGTGGACAAGCTCTTAAATTACTGCTTTTTGCTCAGGAGCTTTCAGTAACGTGCCTTGCTCACTGGGATGCAGGCTCTATTATTTTCCCCCCCCCACCCCAGTTAATAATAATGGGGCTTTGTTTTATTTTTTCTTCTAAACTTTATGCCTCTCTTACTAATGTTTCTGTGTGTACAAATGTGCTTTCTTCATCCGTCAGACTTGGCAATTCTTAAGCCACAATAAGCTAGTTCTGGCCAGTACAGCAAGGCTCTCTATTTATCAGGGCCTTTCTGGGGAAGTTTATTACACTGCAAGAGTGACATTTTCAGCCTGCTGAAAGAGTTGGTAAATATTTGGCAAGTCCTACTCCTTCAACAAAAAAGGGGCCATATTTTATCTGTGATAAGGCCTGAAAGAAAACTGTCTAGGCATTAAGGGCCTGAGTTGTTGTGCAGAGGGGTGGGGTTCGTGCAGGATATTCTTTGAATTGGACCAAGAGAAGTCAAATGTTTGCCTGCAATTTAGGAACCGCTGGTCCTCTGTGTTTGCAAATAGAGACCTTCAGGCCAGGGTTGTATTTGGAGTTGCAGAAGGGCACTGAGCATGGCAAGTGCAGTATCTGCATTACAGGTTTATGTGATCAAGGAGGGAAGGTTAGATGGAGGCTGTGCCTGCTATCAGCCCTGTTGTTTGGTCTGACCTTTCGCAGAGGCCTGGCTGTGTGTTGCAGCCTTGCACTCTGGGTGTGCAGACTTCTGTAGGCCTGAAGCACCCACCTCATAGGTCTCTCCTTTCTCCTCGTTCTTGGCACTGTCCTCACATGGCAAAGCCTCGTGCTCCGTGCCAGCCCTATTGCAGGCTGGCCCTTCCTCACGCCGGGGCAAGCCAGCTGAACGGATTGCACTTTTCCCTTCCCACTGCTGGCCTGATTGAGAAAAGCCTTCCAGCGCCTGCTGGCTTCATCGCTTCCCTTCCTGGGGATCCAAAAGTGATGTCCCACAGGGGAGAGGAGAGACAGGAGTGCCTCCAGGGGCTGCAGGCACAGCATTCCGAGGCCTCAGCCACTTCCTGCAGTCTGT